AACTCAAACCTCCTTCAAGAACTCAAACTAAACTGCAAACAACCTCAGCTCAAAGGTGAGAGTGTTTGGTTAAGGATTGATGTGGAAAAGTGTAGAGAAACTAGACTTTAAGGCACCAAACAAGAAGAGAGAGAGAGAGAGAATTCTTGAGAGAGAGAGAGAATTTTGTTCTAAAATGTCTAACCCCTCAAAATGGGGGAGAGCATCCGCTATATATAGAAAACCAAGGTTTAAGCTTGAATTCATCCACTACAACAAAACTAACTATTAACGGCATCATGTTTACGGCATGCATTAAATGCATGTCGTAGTTAGTACATTCTACGGCATTTTTTTTTGCAAGTCGTTAATGTTTTGTCAATAACAGCATACATACCATGTAAGTCATTAATTCATATATTTATGGCATGCAAAAATATGCCGTAAAAAATGTATGTTTTTATGACTTACAAAAATATGTCGTAAAATATTTGCACTTAAGACGACATACATTTCATGTTGTAAAATATTATAACTTTACACGACATACATTTGAAAACTTCTACAAAAAAAAAAGAAAATCAATTAGAATTTTTTTTATGGCATGCAAAAGCATGCCGTAAAAAATGTATATTTTCACGGCATACAAAAATATGTCATAAAATATTTGTACTTAAGATGACATATATTTCATGTCGTAAAATATTATAATTTTACACGGCATGCATTAGCATGTCGTGAAAACTTTTATTAAAAAAATTTCAATCCGATTTTTTTTAATTTAAAAAAGCTAACAATTTCCAACCAAGCTTCTCATCTTAAATTTTCCTAATTGAGGACAACATAAAAAATAATTTATATATTATTTTATAATTTAATGTCTCTTTTAAGGGATAATTGCACCCAGTGGGATTTTGGAAAAAAAAAAATTACACATTTATGAAAATGTTTATAATTTTAATGATTAATATTTATATGGCTTCTCACTAATTTGTAATTATTATTTTTTTAAATTACCTTGATTTGATATTTTTCCTTCTTTTAATAATTTATTTATTTTTTATTTTTTAGATGTGCCTAATCTGAATACAACTAAAAAATAAAATATTTGTAAAAAAAAAAATAATAAAATATAATATATATAAAATGTATTAAATTTTATATTTTTTTGAATTTAGTGAATTTTTTTAAAAAAATTAAAAAGTAAAACATTATTAAAATTAAAATAAAATATTTCTTTTAAGTATATATAAATTATTTGAATTTAAAAAGTAAAAAAAAATTATTTAAAATATTACAATAACTAAAACAAAAAACTGAAAAACAATTTAGGCCCCCTTACTTTCTCACTCTCTGGTCTCTCTCTCTCTCTCTCTCTCTCAACCCTCTCTAAACCCTAATCTCTCTCAACCGATCGAATCAGCTTTCTTCAGCCCCGTTTGATCTAATCTCAGAGCGATTGGTGATTCATCTCAGATCCAATCTCAGAGCGATTGGCAATTTCGATTTTGAGATTTCGAAGCTCCACTGCCTCCACCATCTGCACCGGCGAGGGAAGCAAGGACCATCGTCTACTAAGGTGAGCACCACCGTCTCTCTCTCTCTCTCTCTCTCAGTTTCGTATTCTCTTTCTCTCTCCCTCAAGCTCTTCCTGTCGAGTTTGAGCAATTTGCTGTATAATAATTTGTTGATGGAATCTCAATTAAATTCCACTAGTGCTTCATAGTGCTCTTTGATTTGATCAATTGTTTTTCGGGGAATCCTAGAAGCAATCTTCTCAAATAAGTCTATAGAATTAAGGTCGAACTCAACAAGAGTGTTCTTAAACAAGTTATTCTCTTCAAAAGTCCACTCGGTATGCATTGGAGGAGGTGGCAAAGAGATAAAGAACCATGATAGTTCATCAAGGTTGTTGCCAAGATGTGGTATCTCCATTTTTTCCTGATCAAAGAATTTTGAGTAGAGTTAAAATGGAGTAGAATGTTGCTACAAGGGAATTATATATAGATAAATTGATGCATAGACATACACACAAACATAAATACTTTAGTTAAATTTATGTTAATATAGTTGACATTACCCATTTGATGCTCTACTCTTTAGTGTTCTCAGTTTTTTCCAGAATTTTATTAGCTTACCTAACATAGTGTGTTTGGTTTTGTAGCTTTTGTGCTACCACTGATGACAAATGCCAATTAGGGGTCACAAAATGCTATAAATAACAAATATAGGATATGTCGGTGAATTTGGATGTATGTATTGTGGTAATGGGTTTTCATGTCACTTTGGTGTTTGTCTGCTCTGCCCTGCTCTTCCAGTGCCGATCTCAATTCAGTGGTGGTCACTTTGGGTTTTCGTGTCAAATTCTGATCCTGTTTTTCTTTTGTGCAAATGATGGCCTTGGTGTGAATACTCTGAATTTTGTTTTTGTTTTTGTTTTTTTATTTCATTTCTATCATTGTTTGATAGAGGGAAAAAGACAAAGTAGTTGGTTGTATGTAAGGAATGATTTGAATTATTTTATAACAAAAACATAAAAACCTATTATGAAATTATATCATTAGATGTTTCTATTCATTGTATATAAGTCTCCAATTTTGTTATGATGGAATGGGGAGCATAATGTTGATTGTTGCAACTACTGTTTGACTGTATGATCTACCATATTGAGACATTAATGGGAAAGCATGTAGGTGTTATTTGTGGTGCAGTACCTGTTAACTGTGTGTTGCCAGTGCACATGGGTCACTTGGTGAAAATTTCTATCATTTTCCCCCCAATATAAATTGAAGAACTCAACTTTATCTTTGCATTCTAATATCTGGAGGCTTTGACACCTTTATTCATACTTGCACCTGATGCATTTATCCCCGGTCCATGTACCAATGGAATTACATATTAGCTAGAAAATACATAATCATGAGTTAAATATATGGTCTGTCTGCTGGTGAATTCTCAATTGTCAGATGACTTCAGCTGATTTACTGTATATTAAGGTATGGATTTCATGTTGTTGAATTGGATGGATAAGAGGTAAGCAATTCTTAATGTTGTTGCCTGTGGAAATTAATCTTGAAGATTCATGGGTTTAGGTTACTGGTATTTTAGCGGGGCTTTGTTTTAGGAAACTATGTCCGATTGTTATACATAATCTGGATAGGCATGATGTGCATGATTTTTGAATTTCGCCATTAATCCATTTTTTGTCAATTATGTTTTAAGTCATGACTTCTTGCCTGTGGTCATTGTGATAACACTTCGTAATGACTTGACATGAATTGACTTGACTAGACAGGGGTGCAAATTGTTGATATTTGTTTGGGTACCAGACCCCATAATGGGGGTTTGATCAACTTGGAGGAACTCTGTAAATTGCTTTGTCAGAGGCGAAAGAGTGCTCGTGAAGCTGTGTCCGAGGATGATTGCTTGCGTGCCATTAGTAAGCTGAAGGTATTTTTGTTGAAGATTTATGTTAGTCTTTGATAGCATATTATGGACACACATTGAGAGTCTGCTTGTAGACGCATTACATTCACTACCACATGCCTCTATTATTTGTTTATGGGTTATAGATTCTAGATAATGAAGCGAATGAGGATGGATTCAGAGATGTCATAAATTTTAGGAGTTGAGGCCAATGAGGTTGTATTTTGCCTTTTGTTTTCAATTCCGTTTTTATTTGTAAACTAATTTTGTCATTTAAGAACAAAATATCTAATGATATGTGCATAAGCGACTGTAGCAAAACAAATATCATACATCACTGAACACTTCCCATTAGATAACTGATTTCTTGGGTACTAAGAGAGGTTTTCCTGGGAGAAAACCCCCCCCCCCAAAAAAAATAATAATAATAATAATAAATGAGAGAGAGAAAGAGAGATGGTTTTCCCTGTATTTTTTTGGCAATTAGGACAGATAAACAATATACATTGAATCGTTGTTACAGAGAGTTGACAGCTTCGTCGAGTAGTTTCGGTTAATAGTTTGACGTCTAATAATTACAAGAGTAGCCAATTAATTATACAATAGAGTGTTAGTCCAAGTGGTCATAATCGGCACTTGAGTTTTAGTATAGAGATGGAGTGACATTAGTTTATTGTAATAATCTAACTCTATTAACTTACTAAATGTTCTATCGTGTGACCCAAAAAAAGAAAAAAGAAAAAAAAAAAACAATTTAGACCGAGTGTTGAACAAAAAATTCTAAATAAGAAAAAAAAAATATAAACTACTTTTTTATCTCCCAATTTTAGCCTAGACATTGTCAATGGGGACAATAATTATTTGAAACTTTACCTATGAAAGGTAAGATTAAAATGAAAGTGTAATACAACATACTACATTTGCATAAGAGATTCAGAGGCCATGTGGTTTGCACTTTAGATGATCCCAAAATGATTAATAGAGAAATGAATCATTTATTACTTTTGTTTCTTTTATTTAATTCATTTTTCTTGTGAGAAAAGTTCATGTATGAAAACTAAGTTGTGTTATGTGAATTAAAACTTTAAGAGAATCCAAAGTAATTATGTTAAAATTGTGGAATTTTCTATATTTTCTCAAAACAAGAGGGGAGGTCAATGCAATACCCAGAAAGAGTCTTTGTTTTTTTGTTTTGCGATATTTTTGTTTTTTTGTTTTTTTTTTCTCTCATTAAATTGCTTTAAATTGTTTTTTTCCCTCTTCTTTCATTGGAAATGGATGAATTTATAACCAATTGTTGTCCACATTATTTCTTATTTTTCCTCATGTATTGCACAGAGTTCAAAAAAAGATGAGAAAAGAATTAGAAAGGAGCGTGAAGCTATAATTGCTGCGTCAATGGATGAAAGAAGAAATGCATCATTCAGAATTTTAGATGAGTGTTCTACTTCTCCACACGTTGAATCACATGATATAGAAGGAGTTATAGACTCCACTCAAGTACCAAAGAAGAAAACTAGGGGGGCATCAAGTTAAAGATACATGACAAAGGAAAACAAAAGTGTGATGAAATTGACTTCAATGAAAGGAATCAGCCTGTGGGACCTGAGTTAGTTAAACTATCAACTTTAGAAGGGATCTTGGCACGAGAGATGGCGCCAATAACCATAGAGAGATGGCCTGATATTCTAGAAGAGGTTAAAGACAAGCTATGGGCTTGTGTGAAGGTAACATATATTTATTTAATTCATTATTATACTATCAACTCAAGTGTTTTTCCTAATCACTAAATTTTTGTTTAAATGCAAATGCAGCTTAGATTCAAAATACATGATTGCCATAGGAAACACATCATGCAAAAGTTTGGCAGATTATGGCGCTCACACAAATTTGAACTATCACGAAAAATAAGACCTCTTGGTAAAAGTGCTAAGCTAGCACACAATATTGTCCTCACCAAACCTGATAATGTAGAAATGGTTGAATGGAAAGCATTTGTGAAACAACAAACTTCCAAAGAATTTAAGGTAAGTTTCCTCATAGAAATTCTCTAGTTTTTATGAACTAATTAGACCAACAAATTTTCTCATAGTGATTCAATTATGAATTATTAATCATATAAATTATGACATTCTTCTTTTGTATATGTAGGCAAAGAGTAAAAGATTTAGGGCAATGAGAAAAAAACAAACCCTCTTTCACACCATGAGTCGTAAAGGTTATACACGATTAGAGGATGAAATGGTAAATTTAAGAGTGATTCAAGTAATTTTGTAAATTGGGTATGAAGTATGGTTACTTTGAGATTGTTTTAATCATATTGATTTTCATTTTCTATTTTATTTTCTAGAGAAGAGAAAGTCGAGCACCATCATCCATATCAAGAGTTGATGTTTGGATTGAAGGGCATACGAGGAAGGAAGGAAAATTCATGAATGAAGTGCTTGATGCAACTGTGGTACCAATATTACTTCATTTTTTATTTTATTTTTTTGGTATTATAATTTGCATTCCCATCAATTTATTAAGACATGCTTTATATTTTTAGAAAAATGTTCAAGAACTTCATAAGGCTTCTACTGATGAGGGTCCAAAATCTATAAAAGATGATGCGATTTTTCATACTTTGGTCCCGAGCGTCGCGGGAGTGTACGAGGGCTGGGATTTGGGGCATTACCATCTAAGGTTGATGCACAAGTACACCAAAATGAGCACGTAAGAAAACTTGAAAGCAAGGTGCTGGACTTAGAACAACAACTCGATGAGATAAGAGCCATGCTTATCAAAGAAAGAAGGCAAAATGATGTAAGAGGAAAAGCTAAACATGATAATATAATGTCATGGCACATAATTTGTTTGTCTTTAATTTGTTATTTTACATTTAAATCACTTGCATGCTTATCTTTGATTGTAGGGTACCAATCCCTCCCAAAGAAGCTCCGATCTACTCCAATCTACTCCTCATGACAACCTTCCAACTTCAGTGAGTGAAAATAGTATTTTCAAAACATTTTTATCTACTTTTCATGTCTTTAATTGATGGAATTATGTGGTAGCTATACGCTTCATGAAGTGTTTTTATGGTTTTTTAGGTGAATGAAGTTGGTTCTGTTACTGAAAGCATTGAAGCTATGAAATTATCTAAACGTGGTGGTTCTTCAATTGTAAACCTTCCAACTAGTTTAGATATGGTAAGTTACTGTTTTTAGAAGTGCCTTTTTCTTTTTTCAAAGTCCATTTTCCAGTTTACTACTGGTCTTGTAGTGCAGTCTTTCCTGAACTAATCAAAATTTTCAAAAAATCACTTGCATTACTAAGTCACCACTTGTTGCCAATTTTACAGCCACATGTGGTCAGTAGTCAGCCCTGAAAAGCCCTTTTTACCGCTTTGTAACATCAATTGTGGTTGCATAGCTGTGTAATGAGTGTTCTTCACACGTCATATGTAATATATTTATGACTGCATGTATGCTTGTGTTTTTATGTATGTTCATGTAGTATAAATTAGATCTTGTAGAAATGAAATTATAAACTGCATTGTTGATTTGCTGGAGATTGAGCATCAAGCCAAATAGGCACTGCTGCATATTCTCCACTCATTAGAATAACCAAGTTTTGTGGTCTGGCAGATTTACTAATTTCAAAGCATGACAACTTTTCGTTTTTTCTTCTTTTTTTTTGGTCAACATAAAGCATGTCGACTTGATATGGCGTTTTCATTGGATTTAGCTCACTGTTTCTGTCACGACCCGAACCCGCCCTCATGGGTTAAGGACATGACCGGTCAGTAATCCTGTGATTACCTACGGCCTCAGACCGAAACAGACGTAACTTGTCAGAGTAAAGGGGCCAAACGGAAGCAAAAATTTAAAACTTTGTCCATAGAGTCGTGTTTATATGCACATCAAACAAACCATACTCAGATACGTTAGTAACCCACATCAAAAATACAGTTTCACAAAATTCATTACAGACAGGATCATCCAAACGAGTCAACCTATAACAGACTATGTACAGACATACACTAGGCCCTTGCCAACAAGACAAAACATAAGTACACAATAAAAGGGCAAGGATGGTCTCATGCGTGAGGCACAAGGCTGACTCTCCCAAAACTCATGTTGTCCCTAGTAGACTTCACTGGGGCTGGGTTTGTGCTTCTCTTGGCTCACCTACAAACACATGAATGAGCGTGAGCGATAGCCCAGTGAATAATATCAAGTATGACAGTTACATAACAATATGTAGAACAACATGCTCCAAACGGCCTTGGGCCCAATTCATACTTCTAATTAGCAAATATATATGACTATACGAAATGCAAATCAAGTAACTGTAGTTCCAACATTCTGGCCTTTGGCCCATTTGGGTTTCCATTCATGAAAAAACGGCCTTCGGCCCATTCACTTATGTCGAAACGGCCTTCGGCCCAATCATTTCTGTCAAAATGGCCTTCGGCCCATTCATTTATGTCAAAACGGCCTTTGGCCCACTCGTTCATGTCAAAACGGCCTTCGGCCTACTCACATATGTCAAAACGACATTTGGTCCATTCGTTTACATCGAAACGACCTTCGGTCCCTTCATTTATATCAAAACGACCTTTGGTCCATTCATTGCATTCATATCAGACTTACGTCCACAATCCCAATTAGCAATTCATAAAGCTTAAAAGGGAGTAAACAATTGGACATTCGCAAGCATTCAAATATTGATATTACTCACAGTGATCGGCTTGTGGATTCGCCCTGGAGCTTGACCCTACACATTCCATGAACACAAAAGGGTCATTAACCATTCAATCCGTCCCTTAATTCACATATTCCTCGTTAGGCTTTATTCTTATCTCATTAACTCATTTATAATGTTTAACATACGCCTAAGAGTGATTACAAGTGAAAGAGAACGGAAAACAAAACACAGAACGAGCATACAAAATTTCAGAGAACAGGGTCCCCGCTCGCTTGACCCTACACATTCCATGCACACAAAAGGGTCATTAACAGTTCAATCCGTTCTTTAATTCACATATTCCTCTTTAGGCTTTATTATTATCTCATTAACCCATTTACAATGCTTAACATATGCCTAAGAGTGCTTGCAAGTGAAAGAGAACGGAAAACGAAACACAGAACGCATGAACAAAATTCCAGAAATTAGGGTCCCCGCTCGAGCGTGGACTTCCCCGCTCGAGCGGACCCTTAGGTCTGCGAAAGTACTGGTTGCCTTCAGTTCCAGCTCGAGCGTGAACTCGGCCGCTCGAGCGGACTGCCCGTCTACATAGCTCCCCGCTCGAGCGTCAATTTCCCTCGCTCGAGCGGGAACCATGTCTGCAGAAAATGCTGGGAGCTCGATTTCTCCGCTCGAGCGGCACTTCACCCGCTCGAGCGGACGTCGAGAATCTGGGTTTTCCAGATTGAGTTCTTGAGCTTCATTTCGACTTTTAACCAACAAATCATGCATGTTGTAGCTCAAATATCACATATAAGTATACTAACAAGGTATAAACACCAAAACACATTATTATGGAGCTCAATTTCAAGGATTAAACACTTGTATGTCTCAAATTGACACCAAACTCAATTCTATCATACATATTCATGCATTCAAAGCTCCCATCTTCAATTATTCAAACATGCATGCCCAATTTGACTTCATTTTCATTTCAAATAATGCAATTAGTGCTCATTCCCATAAGACTCAACAAAGACATGCTTGCATGTGGGATTACACTACCAATCTTTCACAATTTCACAAATTACATGCTAGATTTTGTGATTCCATAGGAGTTCTTTACATGCATGCACATATCAAGCCTCAATTTCAATAAAACCAACTCAAATCATGCTCTTGATCACAAACAACCCTTGAACACACAAGATTACACATTAAACTCATGAATTCAATAATCAATGCTTACCTAGAGGCCCAATTCTTCCAATTTATGGTCAAGTCTAGAGTTGTCTTCAAGACTTCCAAGATTCAAGAGCAAAACTTTGATTTCCTCCCCTCTCTCTCTCTAATTCGGGTCTCTCCTCCTCTAGAGAGTTAAACCAGCCAAGAACGAAGTAAAATGAGGGAGTTGAACACATAAGGGTCCCTTATAACCCCACTAAGCCTCATTAATTTAATATTACATATTTGAGCACCAATTCATTAATTAATCAATTTAATCTGGCCTGAATCTTCTTTTTTTTTTTAATTAAATTTCACCGTAGGCCCTAAAAATTATGCCAATCACAATGGCGTAAACAATTTCAGGTTCTGTGGCCGATAAGGCCTCCAATTTAATTTCCGAAGCGGATTATTCAAACAGATGTTCCTACGATGAATAGATAGGATTTCAAAATCACATATTTTCACATAATAGCACATAAAATCATGCTAAACACATAATCATACACAAATTAAGGATCAATTTAGCATAATACAGAACAGGGGTATCACAGTTTCTCTCACGGTATAGAAAATAATTGTCAATTGACATAATTCTTGGTTGATAGAGTTCTTTTAGGGTTTTGTTGATATTTGTGGGGTTTATTATTGGAACTAGCATATAAGCAGAATCTGTAGTCGGAATTTCATCAAGGTAAATGTCAGGAGTACCAGTAGAGAAAAACAAAGTATTATAATAGTTTCATGTAAATATGAGGTGTTTGATTCTCAAAACACTTAAAAGAAATGTGTTGAATACAATCCAAAGATATACTCGGTCCTCTATTTCTTGTAGCTGCTCCCAGTACCACCACAAGCTGACGGTCTCATAGAGTTCATTAGATACCTATTATGCGCCAAAGGAGTGCATTAGATACCTGTATTAAAATAATTCTACAATAGTGTGAACACTGTAGTTGAAATAAAAATTTAAAAAAAAGGGCCATGTGAACACTGGATGGTACCTTTTCCACGACGTGGGGTTGTTCTTGGGGTCTACATCACATGGTGTGAACACTGGATGGTACCCTTAGCATTGCATTTGCTTTGCCAAGAAGGATCGATGTGTGTGGGTGGGGTGCGGTGTGGTGCGGTGCGGTGCGGTGTGGTGGTGGGGTCCAGAGCCTTGCATCAAGCCCATCCCACTCACTCTTTACAACACCTGAACTGTGGTGATTAAACCACCCCTATCCCTCATTTTGAATTCATCAATATTACTTTCAGCTAACTCTCACCCAATATTCTTTTCCTTAAACCCTTCCTTGCCAAATTCTGGTTTGTCACCTTCACTATCAAAGCCATCAGCTCACCCACATAACATTCTGTCTCCATCCTCGTGGTGGGAAATTAACTAATTCAAAACATGCGAATGTGTAAATGAGTTATTTCAAAATTTGTGTGAGTGTTGTCGTGTCGAACAAAAGAGATTTTGAATCTCTCAATTTTATATTTAAGTAATTCTACGTTTAAAAGAAATGAACTAATTTAAATTCTCACTTGTTCTTGAAGAGGTTCTACAAGGGTGAGCTTCTTACCTTTAGATACCCCTTTCTTGTTTAAGCTTTTAGCCTATCTTGCATCTGTTTTTAAGCTTAACTTATGACTGATAAAAGTTCTTTTTTTAAGTGCTTAAAATAGTTGTTGAAGATCATTTTGGTGTTTGTGGTTGTTTACCCCCTCTTAGGCCTTGTTTGGCCTCATTTTTGTGCCCTTTTTGTGAGTCCCTCTCTCTCCATATTTGTACTAGTTTGTGCCTTAAAGTGAGTTTTCTTCACACTTTTGCACTAAAGCACCTAGTGAAACACCTTCACTCTTGAGCTGAGGTTCTTGGAGGTTGCATTTAAGTGATTTTGGCTTGGTTTTTGCCTCAGAAGTGGCTGGTTTTGAAGTTGTTCTTCAAGGGTGAGTAGTTACCCTCTTTAAGCCTTGTTTTGCTTAAGTATTTGGCCATCCTCGCATGTTTTGTAATTAATTAGTTTAATCTGTGTTGTAATATCTAATTAGCCTAGATTAGCTAGTTGTTCCAATTTTGTAATATTTAGTTAACTAGGAATAGTTAATTAGTTTTGTTATGTAATAATTAGTCTAATTAGTTTAATTAGATTAGTTGGTTAGCTTAGCTCATTATTCAGACCCTTCGTCGAGAGGGCAAATTTTGTAATAAGTGTGCGTGTATGTATGAATATCTTCTAACCCCACGTCTTTCTTCCTTTTACTTATCAGCTTTTGATGGTTAGTTTATGGCATATTTCAATTAGCATACTTATGCTTGCATGCGTGCATCATTCATTTGTTTTGCATGCACCGGGCTCGGCGCATCATTCAAACTGCATTGTATTTCAATTCCTATTTGAATACATGTATCAAGTGTAGCATTCATATGCCATCTTAGATAGCCGAGCCTATTTTAGTTGCATTTTTACATGCGTTGCATTAGGCATCTTGTATAGCTAGGATTTTGCATTGATTACTAACTAGCTTCTGTTTTGGCTTGGAGTGCACTGTAAGTGTTTATGCTTTAGCATCCTTGCATGTGTGTAAGTGACTGCCATGATAGCATGCTTTCCATGAGGCTATGTGTTTAAGTGATTAACTGCGTGAATGCCTGTGGATGAAGGCTTCATTACTTGAATTGGAACAATTCATGAAAATGTGCGTTTTAAGCCCACTTAGAGTGGCAAATCATCATGTTTTGAGCCCTCTTTGTTTGGTGGCAAATCCGCGTTTTAGCCTACTTGCGAGTAGCATCTTCAAACCATTTTTGAAAAACAAACATGAGATGTTTTGTTCCAAATTGACCGATTTAGTCTATACTTGTGTGTTGTGCACATCACATAGTAATTTAGCTAATAATCAAACAAGAACACATGTGTTTTCAAAACAACATATCATGTTAGTAGAGGTCGATCCTCTGATCGGGCGAGTGGGGGTGCTCATTTCATGACCTTTCCCCCCCTCCCGATAGAGCAATATGCCTGGGGCTTCCTGATGTTCCTTCTTGGTACCACCTTGTTTGCGAATAGGTGGAACACCATAAGATTGTATTTACTGAGCGCCTTAGTGACCTTGCCCCGTATCCGGTTCTATGATTGGAGCAGAGCTAGCCTCGCCACACTTTACGGCTACATGAGCTCCACTTCCCGCATCAGAGGAGAGTGGGTCGGAGGCTATTGGTGAGCCTGGGAGGTATGCAATCCACTTTCTACTTTGCACTTACTTCACATTTTCTGTTTTATATCCGTTCAATACCCGTGCTTTCTACTTTGCACTTTCTATATTTGTTCATGTTGTGTGCTTTCTGATTTGCACTTTCTATATCTGTTCAGGCTTTGTGCTTTCTACTTTGTACTTTCTATATCTATTCTTGCTGTGTGCTTTCTGTATCTGTTGGCACTGTTGACTCTGTATCTGTTGCATTGTTGACTCCGTATCTGTTGCCACTGTTGATAACACTACTGCTTTTTCCTTGCAGTTATGGGTTTACGCATATTTTCCAGCCCTTGCTCTAGAGCTTATAGAGGAGATCCCTCCAGTTGTCCCTTACTTGCGATGGTACGACAGCCGATGTCGGTACTAGAGTCGTGAGATCTTTGCCTTTTTCCGTCGATATTTCAATACAGTGGCTCCCACCGAGGTAACCTGAAACTCACAGTCATTTTTTCTTTAATACTGCTTTGATTCATACTTTGGCAACTGACAACAACTAACAATATGTATATTCTCTGTTTGCAAATCACGTGGCAGCCCTGGGCAACGATGTTGGCTGGGGTAAGGGACCAGTATGCGAGATCTTGGAGCACATCTCGCTTCCGGATTCTCCTAGAGGGCCCAGTCTGCCGGCCTTGGTTTTTGAGCAAGCAGTTTGTTCGCTGGACTGTGGGCTCGCCTGATCCAGTCATTCCCATGCCATCCCCAGTGTCTATGCGTATAACAAATAGCCTTCCAATTGAGGCTGTTATTCAGTTCATGGCGCGCCTGGATGTAGACTTCTTCAGAGCAGAGGGTGATTATGCGACATTTGTCCAGACTCATCTCATGCCTCCTTTAACGGGTGTTCACACAAACGAGGGAGCAGGAGCTCCTGTGGTGGGTGGGGTGACTCAGGCAACTAGGGCCCATGCTAGAGGGCCCCTCCTGTTAGGCAGACGACCAGTTCGCCGAAGATTCCTACTACACTCACATGTTGGCAGCCGACTAGGACTACCTACCTGATTTCGTTGGAGCCGGCAGAAGCAGAGCACGAGTATGTTAGAGCTCGAGGCGCGTTTCAAGTATGGACCACACTTTACAATTTACACTCCACATTTTTCATTTTAGATATGTCTATCCCAGATATTGATCAGTTAAATGCACTTCCAGGCACCTACTATGGAGTATGCAGGGAGCCTCCTCAAGCTAGTCGCTTCCCTGATCGGCATGGTGTAGAGAAGAGAGACACTGCATGGTCTCCACGACATTCAAGTATTTTCCCCCATTTCACACTATCATATTTCTACCGATACATTGGCGTCTCCACTGTAGTATTCATATCATCTCACACATTGATACACTGCATTGGAACATTGTACTCGTACTATATATGTTTTCTGCATGGCGCTCATTCTGCTATACTATACCCTACAACTATACAAATTGTATCTTCCAAATTCCAGTTATACCAAGGGCACCAATGGCAGCAGCGACACCAGCACCAGCAGCACCTCCTCTAGCAGCAGAGAGGTGAGAGAGACAGGTCCTAGCACGCAGTCGAGATGCGTCGTGGTCAAGGTAGGGATACGGGTGCCAGTGGCCGGAGCAATCCTTCGGAGCCTGTTCTGAGTGGCGATGATGATAACGAGGCTAGCGCCTCCAAGGAGATAGTGAGTGGACACTCTAAGTCTGAGAGCAAGGACGATGATGCCGGCTCAGGATCAGGGAGCAGAGATGACACAAAAACTAGCTCATAGGCAGGGAGCGGAGGCTCAAAGTCTAGTTCTGACAGTGACGCTGACAGAGACAGTGCCTCTGAGTCCCCTCTGAGGAAGTGGATAAAAAGGGCCTCTTGAGCTTGAGATGATTGGCGCTGCTTTGGACTTTTTTCTTAGTTTCTTTTAGTTTTGGTAATTTAGCACATGTATAACTTCAGATAGGTTTTACTTTTGCTTTTGAAACTTGTACTTCTTTTGTAAAATCCATGATCGGAATCAAACCTTCACAGTTTTTATGAAAAGAGTTTTGGTTTTACCACATGATCACCGCACCGCGAGTAACATACTTGCATGAAAAAGAACATGAAGTTGAATTGAAACCGAACATGCTTGCATTGGAATAAGATTCTTAATTGGATAATAAGCCGATAAATGACAAAAATACAAAATACAACTTTATAAACAAAGCCAAAACAACTCAAATACAAATACAAACACTAGCTAAAACCAAAAGACTCAAAACAAGACCGATCAACACAAATAAAGACAAAACACATGATGCCAACACTATCCAGCACACAAGTGGATGGCAGGCCAGCAGAGGGAGTTGCCAACCGTAAAGGGAGTTGCAGGCCAGAAGAAACGGCCTGCCGGCCACCATTAGTGGCCTACCGGCCACAAATGTGGAGAACCACCAGAAAGTTGACAGTTGGTTTCCACTTAGTCTTATCTTCTACAAAAGGCCTCCCTTCGTGATTTCTTCTCCAGAGCTTCATTTCAACTGCTGTTTCTTCCACAAATTGAGCCATTTCTTGTTGAAAAACTCATGGATTGGATAGCGACTTTAGACAGTACAGAAAAGGTAAATTTCTAGAGTTTCGGCATAAACGCGCTTTTTTCGTTGAGCCGTACTCCACTTTGTTTTCCGTTCCTCCATGCCGCGGTTCGATGCTAGGACCCGATTACGCATGTCTTTCACTTTGGAGCATAAGAAATATGCCCGACTCTTGAAGAATTTCCGGCACTAATAGAGTCCCGGCGCAATGAGGAAATCATACTTCAGCCCCAATTTTGGCCATGCCTTAGCCTTGGGACGTATGTATGGGCTTACTGTGTACGAAGTTCGATCCTTGGCCCACAACGGAGAGCTAGATATACCCAGCTTGATTCATCGAATTTCTGACATCGGTAATCAAGGCAACCTCCTCGTGTGAGGCTTTTGGCAACATGCCCTCTATTTGTGTATGCTTGCACACCACCTTCTTGCCCCTAGTTTCAGTGGAGCCAGTATCAAGTTGATTGAGGTAACCCAACGCCTGAAAGAAGATAAGAGTTGCATTGGTTTGGTCTTGACCGAAACCCTGATAGGTTCGGACGCTTTTCATCGGCGAGAGACCACTAGGTTTGTGAGGAGTCCACTACTGCTCCAAGTATTGTTTCCCACTCTATCATATATATATTTCTCACATCACTTGGCATTCGCACTCTATTTTCTCTTAAAGCCCTTTCCTTACTTTTCTCTCAGCATACATCTCTCTATTCTTTAATCTCTCTTATTTTTCATCCCTTTCCAAGTTTAGCTAATGGATAAATTGAAGGTGGTAAACCCTTACCCAGTTTACTCAGCTCGAGTATACTTTTTTCGCCAACGCCTAGTGGACTTCCCCAAAGAGGGATGGTGGTGCAATTTGATGTATCACAGGTCTGCAACTGACATAGCTTGGCATTGCCCTTGGCTTGACTTAGCCGAGATGAGCTATAGTATGACCCAACAACCGGGTGTTCTGTTGATTGGCCTCATACACTGTGTGTTCTATTTCTTCTTTCGGTTCAGACGCCAATTTGGGCATGATCAGACCTGCCCAGAGGAGGGAGTGGAATACCCAACTCCATTTTTGATTCGTGCTTCGCATTTGGCTAGGTTCTTCATTGCTTGGAGGACGAGAAAGCTTCTGGCCCTTGCCCCTAGTTTCAATCATGCCCTTTCTAGCGAATGCTTGGCTTGGCTCGAGGATGAGGCACAAGCAGGACCAACCTTAGCTACAGGGACTTCTGCCAGTACGAGTGGAGGGCATAGGAACACCTGACTCATGTGCCCCTAGTTTTATTGCATTGATCTTTCTTTTCAAGTTTTTGTGACGTAAAAGCAACTTCAATTTGTAGCAAAGAGTTGGGGAATGTACTAGATGTTGAAATCAATAAAATTAAAGTTGCGAGTACTAAAAATTTTCTTTTCGGTCCCAAAATGGTCCAAGTTGTAAAAGGGTAAAATTTTGAGAAAAATCAACTTTTATTAAAACTTTTCAAAACCATTTTCGAAAATGATTACCACCTAACACGCACAGAAACGATCCTTAAGATGTGCAACCCCAAATCGGAGATCATAACTGCCCTTGATTGCATACCACCACTGTTGTATGTTGTACAACGAGTCTTCTTCCCAAAATAAAGAGTACAACTAAGCTACGAAGATCACAACCGAGCTTATAAATACTGAACAAAGATGACGTAATCAAACAAATTGACAGGACAGTTGAGTTGGAGATGATTACGGCCGAACTTCGGGATGAAGTTGCCTATGTATCCCAAAGATGGGAATCAGGCCTTATGTAGTTCGGTTCAGGTTCACTCAAGTATTAACTCTTTCATTTTGCGCTCTAATTTTCTCCAAAGTCGCCCTTTCGGATTTTCAACCTTGCGAGCTCAATTTTTCTTTATTTCTAATTTTCCATGCTCTAACTTTTGCCTAAGTCGCCCTTTCAGATTTTCGACCTAGCAAGCCTCTCAGGGGTAGTATTTCTTCAACTTGTCCAGGTTGATCGGTTATAAAAACTCCAGACCATCCAAGTCCATGAGAATAATCGCCTCTCCTGACCAGATTGACTTGATGATGTAAGGACCAATCTAGTTGGGTTGAACTTGCCCCTAGGGTCATGGATGGGGGCTTGGTTGTCTTTCAATACCATGTCCCCTTCTTTCAGATTTATGGACTTAACTTTCTTGTTAAAAGCCCTGACAATTTGGCGTTGGTAGCCTTGAACATGATACAATACTTTAGTCTTCTCTCATCAAACAACATCAATTCCTCGAATCTGCTTTGTTGCCACTATACCTCCGCTATCTGACACTTAGCCATAACCTGTAGCGAGGGTACTTCAATTTCGATCGGCAAAACAACCTTCATCCCGTGGACAAGAGAATAAGGGGTTGCCCTTGTAGATGTTCGGATTGAGGTCCTGTAGCCCCAGAGCACACATGGCAATTTATCTGGCTAATCCCTGTAGGTTTCCACCATCTTCTGCAAAATTCTCTTGATATTTTTGTTCGCAGCCTTGATAGCTCCATTGGTTTGTAGCCTATTGGTTGATGACTTATGGAAAGCCACATTATATTTCTCAAGCAAGTCTATCACCTCTTTCTTGAAGTACGACCTATTATTAGAGATAATTTCATTCGGAACTCCATACCGGCAGATGATGTTGTTTTTGATGAACTTAGCCACATGCGAGGCTTTCAATACAGAGTAGAACCGGGCCTTTACCCATTTCGTGAAGTAGTTGATTGCTACCTGGATGAATTCATGCCCATTTGATCCCTTTGGCGTGACTGTGCCGATAACGTCTATCCCCCACACAGAAAATGGCCACGGTGAAGTCATGTTATAGAGCTT